TATAAGTATGTATATATATATATATATATATATATATATATATATATATATATATATATATATATATATATATACACATATATATATATTTATACATTCATATATATGTATATATATATATATATATATATATATATATATATATATATATATATATATATATATATATATATATATATATATATATATACACACATTTATATATATGTATATATATACATATATATATACATATATATATATATATATATATATATATATATATATATATATATATATATATATATATATATATATATACATATATATATATATATATATATATATATATATATATATATATATATATATATATATATATATATATATATATATACACAAATATATACTGTGTATGTATATATATATTTATATATATATATATATATATATATATATATATATATATATATATATATATATATATATATATATATATATATATACACACATATATATTAACACAGTTCATAAACCTGTGAATTGATATGGGCCAACACTTAAAATACTGACATTTTTTTCTTTGAGTGACTATACGCTTGAAGAATTCTCCTGCACATGGAAGGCCAATTTGTAAACCTATTTATGACATCTTGACATGACCTTGAAACGGCTTTGGTCAGTCACAAAATGAGCCCCTTGATTTTACCCCCTTATTTCCATTGTTTTATTTTAAATTTGCCTCAGTGTCTTATGTGAATATTTTTCTTTCTTTCCTTTTTTTTTGTATATATATTCAAGAGGCTTATTGACCATCCATATATTTTTTTTTTTTATATACGGGAACAGTACAATGACTACTTGCTTTTCCCATTGCCCTCTAAAGATAATGTAACAGACACAAAATGAGCAAAAGACAAAATAATTATGGAATTCACCTTTGAAATGCATTGCCTTGTATGATTCCGATTTGCTTATGCTAATCCCGAATCTCTAAAATTAAGCTTTAGTTGAACCATTATATGCTTGAGACAATCCATAGTTTAAAACCCGTTAAGGACAAGGAGTCAAGAGAGCGAGAGGGGAAAAAAAAGTAAATTGAGAAGAATATTTCAAAATAGTTGAGGAAATGTCTGCCATGAGATATTAGTTAATGGCTTAAAGTACCAATATGAATATTCTGTAAATGTCTTAGAGAAGATTATCTATATTTTCATGATGTTAGAATTAAATTCTCTTGCATCGATGTACACCAAAGAAAAGGACATGGATCTTAGTGTTATAGATTTAAGGTCATATGAAGGAAATTATAAAATATATCTATATGTGCTGACCATTAATATCAAAGGCACAGAGAGATATAACTGGGATTCATTTAAGAGATATTTTCTTTTAACAATCTTATTTTGCACATCTGCAATCCCCATATTTGTGGCTAAGACAGTATCCATACGAGAATTCTTTGATTTGGCACTGTAGCCGTCCCCTTTACTGGATGCCCTTCCTAATGCAGATGCTCGACCTTTGTGTTGCAAGGCAAGAATGCACCCTCTGATCCAAGGTGTGAGCAAAATTGTAAAAAAATTATTTGATTTTAAATTTGTATTGTCCAGATGAAATTATCAACATCTTTTGGAATTTGCTTGTGGTTACAGTACATTGAACATCCATGGAAGCTCAACGTTCCTCCAGAATAGCCACAGGCTCTGCAATGCAAAATTTGAATAAAACCAAAAGAAATGATGGATGTGTTTACAGTTGTCCACCAAACCTGCTCCTCGTCCCCAGACCACGTACAGTATTTTCAAGACCTCTAAAAACTGAAATAATGTCCTACTGATGTTATCACCCTGGAGTGAGACATTGCTGGTGATCAATACAGATAAAAAGGTTCAGTGAAGTGGCTTTCATTAGTCCTCTTTTGTTGATTGCAGTATGTATAAAATGTATCAGAAAGATAAATATACCAGTCAGTCATACCTAGTCCTGAGGTTAAGTGGAATCCTAAACACATATATTATTTTTTTGTGTGGATTGATATATTGATTACAAAAAGTGTAGAACAAATACAACAACAACAAAAAAAAAAGTACCTAAATTTTCATTCTAATTTATGATTTTTATGACAAAAAGGATTTTATCATATTTACAGATAGTTATATATTTACAAATATTTTACTATATTTACAATTAGTTATATATTTACAAAATAGCAAGAAAATAAAGGCTTATTTTATCATCTTCATTGCTTTAGATAAAGACTTTATGTGCAGTAAGAAAGGGGAAAATCAAGTATTTGTAGCGTCATCTGATAAATCTCCTGTAAACCCATATGGGAAGCTGTTTCAATATCATCTGTACATATCATTCATTTCGTTATATGTACACTGTATATTAATGTGTATGATATGTATGTGTGGTTATACCTAAGTTTTCAGATTAAACATAAATGTTATGAGTACAGCAATTTGTGGTCATTTTCCGCAGGTAATGTGTAAGGCCAAGAGTTCTGTCAAAGGAA